AAGAAGAAGAAGAAGAAGAAGAAGAAGAAGAAGAAGAAGAAGAAGAATTATTTCTCAAATCGCCGACTGAGCCATCCGTCCACAACCCACCCACCCCCCAAAAAAATGCCCAGCGTCAACAGTTTGCAAAACCAGAAGCGCCACTTTCAAAAGGTTAGCGAAGAGTCAAGAACACGAAGCCACGAAATCCGTGGTCTCCCCTGGGCTGCAGAAATTGAGAGAGAGGGCTCCGTGGATCAGAGGAAAGGAAAAATTGGGGGGTGGGTGGAGCGAAAATCTTTCCTGCGGAGGAGAATCAACAGCTTGATTAATCTTAGTAGGATTTTGGTGGCGGGTATTTTGAGGTGCAAATAAATGGGGGGCCGGGGGGGGGGGAGTTTTGCCAAAGCTGACAAGAATCTTGTGATGTGGGATCCACAAGGCTACCCTGGCAGTCAGAGGAATGGAATCAGTCCGCAAAGCTTGAATAAATAAAGTGAGGTGTCCCCCCCCCCCCCCCCATTTAATCTAATGCCACCCAGCTGGAAAAGAGTAAAGAGAAACAACCACATAGGTACTCTAAAAGAAAGAAACCAAATTCTAAAGTCTTAAATGTAATAGATAATAGATGGATAAATGATAGATAGATAGAATAGAATTCTTTATTGGCCAAGTGTGATTGGGCACACAAGGAATTTGTCTTGGCACAGATAGATGATAGATAGATAGATAGATAGATAGATAGATAGATAGATAGATAGATAGATAGATAGATAGATAGACAGACAGATGATAGATAGAAAAATAAATAGATAGATGTGGTAGATGATAAATGATAGATGGATGGATGGATGGATGGATGGATGGATGGATGGATAGATGATTGATAGATAGGTAGAAAGATAGATGATAGGTAGGTAGGTAAGTGGATGGATGGATGGATGGACAGACAGATGATAGACAATAGAAAGATAAATGGATAGATGATAGGTAGGTAGGTAGGTAGGTAGGTGGATAGATATATACATAGACAGGTGATTGATAGACAGACAGACAGATAGATGGATACAGTAGATAGATAAAGATGATAGAAGATTAATTACTTAATAATTAATCAGTGGAACAACTTGCCCCCAGAAGTTGTGGATAAAAAACTGGAGGTTTTTACGAAGAGACTGGACAGCCACTTGTATAGGGTCTATATAGCCTCTTGTATAGGGTTGGACTATAGGACCTCCAGGGTCTCTTCCACATCTGTTTTTCTGAATGGTAGAAGTAAAAATATGAGGTGGGATGGGATGGGATGGAAAAGAATAGAATATATTGGAAGGGAATGGATTGGAACAGAACCGTTTTTATTGGCCAAGGGTGATTGAACACACAAGGAATTTGTCTCCGGTGCATAAGTGTACGTGCAAAGCAACAGAGTAATATTAATCGTAACAAAGATACCAATAAGAGGGGGTCGTAGTATATCACGGGGTTATATTGGCAGTCATATCTGAAACCATAAGCATGTCAGGAAAGGATTCGAAGGGCGCCATTTCGATTTTCCAGTGACCAGGATTAGAAAGGGTTTACCTTGGATACATTCACTACTACCCAAGTGGCCAACATCCGCGTTTATAAACCACCAAATTTAACACAACCAGGACGCTTTGAATGGGGGTGCCTCAAAGACCTGCTCTTTGTAACCTCAATATCCCTTCCAATGGTTGCGTATCTCCAACTGCTCATAGGGCCTAGATTACCACCGTTTTAAAAAAGAGAGAAAAAAAACTACATTTTTTTTTACCACCCCACCCTTAAAGACTCCCATCAGCCTTAAGCAACATTCACCCCATTTATTTGTTTTTTCTACCCCCAAAAAGGGTTGGGAAAACGAATATGCTCCTTAGTCACTACTATAATCCCTGCGTACTTGCAATTAGACAATGCCCAAAGAATGCTCTGTGTAAACAGACAGCCGAAATTAGTTTTCGTAAGTTTCAACTGCCCACCTCGTTGACTTATGTTTACCTCATTTGTTTAAGCTTGGATTCTTGCTCCAAAACAGCTGCAGGAAATTCAGAAAAACTAAAGTCATTTCCAGGGCAATAATTATGCTTGAAAGGACATTTTGTATGGGGGGTGGGGGGTGGAAATAAACGGGATATAGGTCTTTCTGGATCCATCATTTCATCACGGACAGAACGAAAGGAGCACAGTAACAACACGAATGGACTGCCTTGAATGGACTGGTGTTAAGAGTCATTCTAATTCAAGGATATTTTAATTCTAAGACTCATTCAAGGTTTAGGATTAGAAATTTAAGTCTCAAAAATCAGACCTAAAATGTTCACTCTAATTCAAATAAACAATTCATTCATTATCATCGTCATCATTAGTCCTTGAGTTCATTCAGTGACCAAAGTTCTCACGTCACTAAAAAGGGGACTTATGACTGTTTCTCACACTTACGACCGTTGCAGCCTCCCCGTGGACACGCAATCAAAATTCAGAGGCTTGGCAACTGACTTGTACTCGTGACAGTTACCGGGTCCCAGGGTCACATGATCCCCTTCTGCGAACTGCTGACCACTCAAAGTCAGTAGGGAGGCCAGATTCACTTAAGAACCAACCATCCATCCATCCATCCATCCATCTATCTACCTACTTATCTATCAATCATCTACTTATCTTCCATATATACCTTCAAATTTAATCAGGAAGTGGAATATTCTGCAATCCTTCTAGGAAACAGCCCCCACCTTCGATGCCAAGTGCCCAAGAGTGACCCCTTTCTCTTTCACCAACCCCCCCAACAGACTTTGGAAAGGCAGTCCTTTTTTAAAAAAGCCTTATATAAACCACCCCCCTGCCTTGAACAGAGGAGGAGGAGGAGGAGGAGGAGGAGGAGGAGGAGGAGGAGGAGGAGGAGGAGGAGGAGGAGGAAAAAAAAAACATTTCTACCCAAACGCTCCTGCCTTAAGTCATCTCTAGTTTCTCAGCCCTGACGAAGCCCAGGGAGTGAAGGGCGTCTCTACGACACGGTTTTGATTTCCCTGAGCTGTGACCTCACTGGGCAAAGAAAGAAAAGGAAAAAAAAAAGAGGTTTCCAGAGCCAGCCCCTCTGGGAGGAGGCCCTGGGGGTCTCTCTTGTGTGGCTCCTTGACTTGATGGGAGGAGGGTGGGTGGGTGGGTGGGTGTAAACGTCGGTTACCCAACCAGAATGCTCACCGCATGCTCGGTTGTCATCCCTTCCCCTCCTCCGGTGTGGACATCCTACCCACCACAAAGGAGCCGAACATTATCAGGCTGGAGAAGTTTATCCTGAAATGATGGATCGAGAGCTTTAAGCACTCCAACCCAGAAGAGCTTGCAAAAAAAAAAAGAAAAGGCAAAAGCAAACAAAACAAAACAAAAACCCAACGGCCAACAGCTGCAGCCTATTGTTCCTCGGCTCCTACCGAGCATGGGAGCCAAACGGATGGAGGACCGGGCGACCAGATTCAAAGGACACGGATTTCCACATTAAGGAAGTCAGCAAACCCTGGGCAGCCCTTTTGCTTTGCAACGCGCGCGTCAGGACTTCTTCCTTCCGTAGAAGCTGAGCTCCCTGTCTGGCTATGCTTATTTGGCATCGGTGATGTCCTTATTCCCAGGGATGAACCCAGCCACAGATTCTTGATTTAAAAGGGAAGATAAAGCCAACAACAACAACAACAACAACAACAACAAATAAAATAAAAATGCAAGCTTGAAGCTGGAAGAACAAAACCCCCAGGGAAAAAGAAGCGTAAGGAAGACACGAAGGATATTTGCAATTTAACAGGATAGTCGGCTGCACAACATTTTGCAGAACAAAAACAAAAAACCCCAAATAGCTTTGGAAAACCAAGCCTGTTTTTTTCGGTAAGTTTTTTCTTCGGGTCATCAGCTGTTACCGGAGGCTGAGGTGGGATTTTTAGCAACATAAATCCAGGGGAAGTTTTCAAATGTTAAAAGATTTTCTCTGTGATTTGCTTTCATTTATATATATATATATATATAATATTTTATATTATATAAAAAAAACTGTTTAT